TAACATCTTGGATCTACAAGGTACTCAAACATGCTGAAAAGAAAAAAGTAAACAACCCCATTACAAAGAGGGCAAAAGATATGGACAGACACTTCACAAAAGAAGACATACGAGCGGCCAACAGACACATGAAGAAATGTTCAACCTCACTAATCATCAAGGAGATGCAAATTAAAACTACACTGAGATACCACCTAACTCCAGTCAGAATGGCCATTATCAATAACTCAAAAAATAACAGATGCTGGAGAGGATGTGGTGAAAAGGAACACTTCTACACTGTTGGTGGGAGTGTAAACTAGTGCAACCTCTGTGGAAAGCAGTGTGGCAATTCCTAAAAGCTCTAAATATCGACCTCCCATATGACCCTGCAATTCCTCTCCTGGGAATATACCCTGAAGAACTCAGAACACTCTATCAAAAAGAACCTGCACACGCTTTGTTTATTGCAGCATTGTTCACAAAAGCAAGAACCTGGAACCAACCATGCTGTCCATCAAAAGAGGACTGGATTAAAAAAATGTGGTACATATACACGATGGAATACTATGCAGCTATAAAAAAGAACAAAATCATGAATTTTGCAGCAACCTGGATGGAACTAGAGTCTATAATACTGAATGGTCTTTCACAGCAAAAAAGATCTGAGTATCACATGTTCTCACTCATAAGTGGACCTTGAACATCTATCGTAATACTATAAGAAAAGAATCAACAGTGGTGGGAATCTATGTGGAGGGGACAGGGAGGGCAAAGGTGGTGGGATTAATGGTAGTCAATATCTGTCTGGGGTCGGGGGGACACCCCTTATCAACAAAGGTGTCTGAACGATGCATATTTGTATACCCAACCCTTAACTGTACCCCACAATTTTAAAATAAAAAATATGTTAAAAAAAAAATAGACAAACATACCAAAGAAGCAAAATACAGTGTCTAGAAATGGGTCCATACATAATCACCTGATTTATCACAAAGGTCTTTTTAATAAATGGTGCTGGGTCAACTGGATATGCATATTAAAAAGTCAGGACTTATACCTCACACCATACAACCACATCTCTTCTAGATGAATAGTATATATAAGTATAAAAGTTACAACAAGGTTATAGAAGAAATCACAGGAGAGGAAAGGCAAAGATTTCTTAAGACACAAAGTACTAACCATAAGGAAAAATATTTATAAGTTGGACTAAATTAAAATTTAAAGTAACTGTTCATCAAAAAAACACCAGAAAGGCTGGGTGTGGTGTCTCACGCCTGTAATCCCAGCACTTTGAGAGGCTGAGGTGAGAGAACTGCTTGAGCCCAAGAGTTTGAGACCAGCCTGGGCTTTC